CTTTCTTCCTCCTTCGTGAAATTGACAGTATGACCCATTCTACACATGTCATGGGATTTCAGTGAAATTGGTATTAGAGAAAGGATAGGAAATACACTTTGAAACCAAAGACGTTTTGCTTATACCAAAGTGAAGTCACGGGCTGGGGAGCAAGTTCAATCGGTAAAGTGTTTGGCCCACAAATATGAGGGCTTGTGTTCAATACCTAGAACCCACTTAAAAAAACCAGATGAAATGAAGCATGCTCATCAATCCCTGCACTAGGGAGGCAGAGAAAAGTGTATTCCTAGGGCTCACTGGCCAGACAGCCTAGCATACTCCAGGCCAGGTCAAGAACCTGTCTCATATTTTATAATTAATTAATTAATTAATTAATTAATCGGAGGGTGAATGGTGCCTGAGGAATGATCCCTGAAGTCCTTTTTAGCTGCGTGGAGTTGCCTTAATAAATCCCCCCAATATTGCCCTCTGGCTTGTACATACTTGTGCACATGCATACACATGTGCGTGCACACACACACACACACACACACACACACACACACACACACAGAGAGAAAATGGGAGGTGGCAGAGGAGAACACAGTCTGCTCTGCAGTGGTCCCTCCGCTCCTTCCTCAGACCCCAGCGACCAGAGGAAGCTGTCTCACAAAATGACCTTTCACTGCCCCCTGGATTCCGAGCTCAGTTCTGCTTCATCAGAAACAGACACTAGACCAGAAGTCGTCAGGAGGGGACGAGGCCTTCGCTTCTGTTGCACTAAAGACAACTCTGTAACTCGTCAGCTCACATACCCCAGAGCCCACCCTCTGCTTCAGACCTTCAGACACCGTTCCTTCCAGTGCCAGGAGACAGCACGTCTGGATGACCTCTCCCAGTAGAGACAGTTTGGCATGTCCCCCCACCCTCCTGTGACTGAGTCTGAATTCTCCACTCATGACGCATTTCCTAGCATGCAGGGCGCCTCTCCTGGTTGCCCCCTCACCACCAAAGCAGCTTCCTCTCTTTTTATCCCATGCTTAACAACTGTCAGGCCGCAACAAACATGCTTTAAGTCCACAGTCTTCCAGTTACCCAGCAACGACTTCCCTCCCGGATAAACCTGGCCTTCCTGTAGCAGCTGCTGGGAAAGGAACCTAACAGGCCGCGGCTGTCTGTCCTCAGCTTTGCTTGCCCTTAACTTCTGGTCTAGATGCTTTCAAGACAAGCTACCCACCCCTGACTCCAGACTTTTCAGTGGTTCCCAGAAACCATGTTATCCTCATAAAGGCATTTTTAACCTGATGCTGCCTAACCTTACATTATGTGTTGGGTATATCTTCAACTTAGAAATGAATATTGCAGACACCTTTAATTCCAGCACTCGGGAGGCAGAGGCAGGTGGATCTCTGTGAGTTTGAAGCTAGCCTGGTCTATAGAGCTTGTCCAGGACAGCTAGGGCTACGCAGAGAAACCCTGTCTCCAAAAACAAGAACAAAAACAAAAACAAAAACAAAAAAAACAAAAACAAAAAAAAAAAAGAAAAGAAATGAATATTGTTTCCAGATTGGCTCCTTTGAGTTAGGAAAAAAAAACCCATCAATCATAGGCCACTCCTTTCATGTGCTGGCAGAGCAACAGCTACTGAATCAGTAAATCCCATCAAGACGTTTAGGGAACTGTTAATGCTTTTATTTCACTCTGGTATACAGATTGCACTCTCCAAAGGAAAGGAATATATTTGGTCCTCCAAGAATCTTAACAGAGTTCTCAGGAGCCCCCTATGAGGACCTTATATTGCTTAAGCAGGGGTTCACTGCTCAGGGACTACTTAGACCAATCACAATTAATAAAGACATATACTTCCACAACCCTATTTGTATAACCAGTCCTCCTTAAGAAGCCTAATTTGGGGCTGGAGAGATGGCTCAGCGGTTAAGAGCACTGGCTGTTCTTCCAGAGGTCCTGAGTTCAATTCCCAGCAACCACATGGTGGCTCACAACCATCTGTAATGAGATTGGTGTGGTCTTCTGGCCTGCAGGGATATGTGCAGACAGAACACTGTATACATAATAAATAAATAATCTTTAAAAAAAAAAAAAAAAGGAGGTCTAATTTGGCCTTGACCTCAAGTGATCAGTCCCAAACCCAATTATAACATAAAGTTATTTGTTATTTAAAATAGTAAGAGAACTTGCTGACATAGGAGTCTGGGATGTGTGTAATAGTATTATTTGCCATTTTGGTCCCTGACCCTTTTTTTCTAGAAATGTTTCCACATTTCCATTCAAATCAAGTTACAGCCTCTTCTGGTTCTTTTGGCAAGAACAGGTCTTATGAATTGGAATTGATAATGGGGAGGGAATTCAAAGAAGTGAGCCCCGAGGAAGTTTTTTTTATAATTTATAGCAACATCAATTAAAAAGCTGGTGAGCAGACACAGAGTGGGGCTTCCTGGAGGCAGGCCCTGTTCTGAGCTGTAAATGGCTTCTCCAAAACACATGTTCTTCATTGTTTATCATCCCCATGGCAAAGAAGTAGGAAAGGAAATGTAGCTAGGGTACCAAGCGCACACTAGGGCTTAGCAAGTGTGTGATAGATAGATATTATCCAGTTGTTAGCAAGATCAAAAAAGAAAGTGTTGACCAGACACAAAAATGCATCTAACGCCCTGGCTCCAGGCTTGCTCACCCCCAGATTCCTAGCCTTGTTTTTATCTGGCTATCTACCCAGGCTGACTCTCCGTGTCTGGCTTCACATTCCTCTCTCCACCTGGAATCCCAGACTCCCTACACCCGTCTGTGCACAGATACCACTGCCTTCATCCTTGCGGCCACCTCCTCCCTTTATCAACTCAAGTGTCACCGGCCTAGTCCCTAGCAGTGGGGCTGATTACTCCCTTTCTGGCAGAGACACCACTCATGGAACCTAAAACCCCAGGAGACTCTGTCTCTTTGCTACAAGATTAGTCTACTGATCATTAACACAACCCATATCCATAGCTCATGGGTACCTACCCTGAAGATATAAAAATAAAGCCTGGTGCTATGCTTAAGGAGTTCATAATCTAATGTAGTGAATGATTCTCAACCTTCTTAATGCTGCAGCCTTTTAATACAGTTCCTCATGTTGTGGTGACCTCCAACCATAGAATTATTTTCATTGCTACTCCATAACTATAATTTTGCTACTGTTATGAATCATAATGTAAATATCTGATTGTAGGATATCTGCTATGTGATCTCTCAAGGGGATCACGACCCACAGGTTGAGAACCACTGATCTAGTGGAAAGCAGATATATTAAAAATAATGGGAGATAGCTGTGTGTGATGGTGCATGCTTATAATCCCAGCACTCAGGAGGCAGAGTCAGAGGAGCTTGTTCTACATACTGAGTTCCATGATAGCCAGGGCTATACAGACCTTGTCTCAAAAAATCCAAATAGTAATAATAATAATAATGTGTCCCTTCTTATCTCTCATAGTCTTTAGGAGAGAAGATGGACAAGATTAGAGAGAGCATTCGCTGACATGTGATTTGACCTATTTACATCCTCCTCTCTTCCTACCTACTGAACTCAACCCCATTAGCCTATAGCAAAACCAGGAATTAAAGTGACTTGCTGAGCATCCATTACCCTTAAAGCTATTTACAAACAATTTGAAAAGAAGTCTCAGTAAGATGGGTGTCTCAGGCCAGTCAGAGCAGAGGGCAGAAAGCATGAAAGCATGCCTACCATGGGAAGAAAGGCAAGGGTCCAGGACAGAGCTAGAACTCGGGTGGTGCATGGTGCAGCTAGACCAGTCCAACCATCGTTCAGGATAAGCACCCTACAGAATGAAAGAGGTGAGGCTCCTGGCTTGTGATCTACACATACCTGAGCGAGGATGAAGTACAAGCTTTGCCAGGGCCTCTCTCCAGGCCACTGCTGCTAGAGAGAGGTGCTCCCTTGAATTTGAAAACCATTGTCTTAACACTTAGCACTCAGTCCTAAAAGACTGTTTCGAGTAGGCTGTCAGTGGTTCAATTCCATTCTGAAGCTGTGACGAATAAAGTCGATCAGGACTTGAATTTGGTGTTCAAGGTGCTTGCATCAGGCTCTAAGGCTGGCGAGCAGAAAAACTGAGGACTTTGGTATTCCCGATCGAGATGGAAAGTACTGAAACTATTCTGCGTTGTCCCGCAAGCCCCACCCAAATGTTGCTCTCAGCTAGAGAACTTGACCAAGGAACTTGTCACTCATGTGAACTGCAGTTTTAAGAGAAAAGTGATGGACTTGGTGGAATCTTCCATAAGAGAGTATTTGTGAGCAGAGAAAGGGTGACAGCCTGCCCAGCAAGGACACAAAGGGGCCAGACTTGAGCAGTGACGGAAGCCTGGCAGGGCCTGCGGAGCCTGGAGGTGAACAGATGGGCATCCTCCACCCCGCCTGGCTTCACACTCCACCAGCGGCACTGTTTCCCCTCCTTTGGGAGTCTCGTCTGGTGTCACCAGAACAGCAATCAGAGTCACTTTGGTGTATGTATACACTGTCACCGCGAGACCGTTCATGATTGATGAGCTCGGCAGGGAACGTGGAACAGGAGCCTTTGATTTTTCTAGATTGGGCGAAAGAATTTTGTTTCTGAAGGCAACCTTGCAAAAGTTCTATTAGAAAATAAAGAATGGCTTACAAGTACATATGAAATGTGTGTGTGTATGTGTAGGTGTGTCTGTGCACACATCCATGTAGAGCTGAAGGTTGACATCTGGTATCTTCCTCAGTTGCTGGTATCTTCCTCTTAACTTTCGAGACAGGCCTCTCTGGATTTGTCTAGACTGGCTATACAGCAAGTCCCAAGGGTTCCCCTGTCTCTAGCTCCCCAGCCCTGGGGTGACATGTCTTTGTCATCATACCAGGACTTTGTGTGGGTGCTGGGGAGCAAACTCATGTCTTCATGCTTGTGTGGCTGACTAAGCCATCTCCTCAACCTGGTAACCACATTTTTAAAAAAATTTTTTTTTCCTGTTGATTCCAGCTCCCCACACTCCTAGACAGCAGTTCTCAAGGTATCAACTTGAGATTTTGGGGAGGAATATTATCTGATATGTCACCAAGACTGCAAAAGGTAAGAGGCCCGATGCCATTAACTATAGTTTTATTATGCCTTTACACCATTTCAGTCACACTTACTGTATCAAATAATTTAACTGTACCTCTCACCTCTTAAGGAGAAATCCATTTGCTCTTCCTGTCTAGCAATTTAAAGGCAGCATCTGCTCATGTTCTAAACCATATGCGCCCCTAAGTAGGAGGTGAAAAGAAAACAACCATCCTTGTGATGCTACATCAAGACCCAAGTACCACTGGAACCAATGACTTGTCTGCAGTAGCATGATTGCTTGTGGACCAGCAAATGAGCATCAGGTTTCTGGTACTGAGTGGTGCAGTCACCCATACGCCACCGGTAACAATAGCAAATATGTACACGGTGCTTATGGGTGCGATTCTTAGCGCTTTACCTCCACAGATTCACTTCATCCCTCCGGAGTGACTTTTTTGTGTTGTTTTATGAAATATGTACACAATCTAATTACTATCTGCTTGTATAAGACTTCTCAGACATAGAAATTGATTCCTCCACTTAAGAGTTGATTGATAATGGAGACAGGAAGAGAATAGACTGACACCATCACAAACCTTTTTGAGTATATGGCCAGCAAAGACAAGAAGCATGAAAAAGGCAGCTCTCTTTAAGGGTGATGAATGTTATGGAAGGGGAAGAGAAACAGAAAATATGATTTTCCCTCGACTTTTCCCCTTTGATTTTCCCAGCCACCTTAGGCTCAGTCAACTTGGAAAATAACATGCTTGGAATCTGTATTTATAAAATTAAACTCAATCAGGGCAAAGCAGGAGCCCTGCTTGTCAGGGAGAGCGAGAGAAGGGCCGTTGTACCTCTGGCCACCTGCTGCGGGAGTCTCTGACATTTTCCTCTTTATAGCATTTTAAAACTCATAGCCGTATAATGGCGGTGAAGTCCACAGAGACTGTAAGTAGCTTCCCAAGGCACATCAACACTTTGAATTCTGTGTGGGCATTCCAGAACATCCCTGGCCTGTTTAGGTAACAGGTCTAAGCATCTGTGAACCAGGTTAAAGCTCATGGCCCAGTTTATATTAATTGATATCAGACCATTTGACCCCAACACAGCCCTTCATTTCTGAGTGCTTTGATTAAATGAGCAATATAATCATGATAATAACCCTCTGGTCATAAGACCCACTGTTGTTGAAGCAATTTAAGATTCTGACTTTCTCACTGAGGCATAGACTGTGATTATAAACGTGACTCACCGTGCGGATTCCACACGGTGCTCATCAGTTTCGGAAAGCAAGTGTTGGCATGTGTACAAAGAGAGAGAGCCCACAGGTCAACATCGCTAACAGAAGTGGGAGAATGTTTTCCGACATGCCTGGGTGAATCCTAATGGTTTTTTTTTAATTTCCAAATTCCTTAGAACGTGAATAGTAAGGTGTGGTTAGGGAATAAACACAGACTTGTTTTTACTTTATATTTTCCCTAAAACAAAGCCACATGGCCTTATGGGACCAGGATCCTGGTGCCTCTTTTGCCAGTGTCTCCCAGCCTAGTTCTCAGCATCACAGATCTGCCTTTCAAGGATGAAGCCATGAATACCATGACACCATAGAGAAGAGAAGGGACGCCAGGCCCCTCTTAGGTGACACAGAGTTTGGTATTTTCTTCCATAAGCGAGACATCTTCTGTTCTTTGCTTGAACTTTGTTTGTTTGTTTGTTTTTTGTTTTTGTTTTTCAAGACAGGGTTTCTCTGTGTAGCCCAGGCTGTCCTGGAACTCGATTCACAGAAAAGGCTGGCTCCCAAGTACTGGAATTAAAGGAGTGTGCACCACCACACCCAGATCTTTGCTTGAATCTTTTCTGTTTGTTTTTGTTTGTTTGTTTGTTTGAGACAGGGTTTCTCTGTGTAGTTTTGGTGCATGTCCTCAATCTCGCTCTGTAGACCAGGCCTCAAACTCACAGAGATCCACCTGGCTCTGCCTCCCAAGTGCTGGGATTAAAGGTATGTGCCACCACCGCCCGGCCTTTGCTTGGATCTTAAAAGATCCAAGACACACAGTCTGGCAAACACACACACACACACACACACACACACACACACACACACACACACACATACATGGGTTGCGGGGAGGGGAGAGAATAAGCCACACCATTCAGTTGAATGGAAGAGCTCACATGTGATAAAATTAAGTTAGTAAGAAGACGTTCTGAGGACTGGAGAGGTAGCTGAGTGGTTAAGAGCACTGGCTGCTTTCGAAGAGGACTAGAGATCAGTTCCTAGCATCTACATGGCAGTTCCCAACTACCTGGAATCCCAGCTCCAGGACACCCCCTTCTAGCCTCTATGGTCTTCTACATGTGTATATATATATATATATATAGACACAGACACAGACACAGACACAGACATACACACACATACACAAGTAAAAATAAATCTAAAAAGATTATTTTTCAAACATAGAACACCAAATTCTAAACTTTTTAATCACAGAAATTTGCCTTGACTTTGCATTTCCAAAACACAGACATTTCTCCATTATTTTATTCCCCAGCTTTTTCCAGTGTCTCCATCTTAATGGAATAACAACTAATTTATAATGATATAGAATCTGCATTTTCCCAAGGACACAATCCCAGGGAACCCAAACAGGAAAACAGACGATGTTAGCATGTTTTGTGTTCTTGTTTGTCCCTAGATAGATGACGGCAGATGTTGTTTTGTTTTGTTTTGTTTTCTACAGCTGGATTGAGAATTGCTGAGAATATATATGTTTCCCTTTAAATGTGGAAATCAAACACACACATGAGCAAGCCTTTGTTCTGTCTGTTTTAAGATTATTCAAAGTCAGGGCTGCAGAGAAGGCTCAACATTTAAGAGCACTGGCTGTTCTTCCAGAAGACCCAGGCTCAATTTCTAGCATCCACATGGCAGCTCACAACTGTCTAACTCACACAGACTTGAATGCAGGCAAAACACCAATGCACATAAAATTTAAAATTAAAATTAAACAAAAACAAAAGCAAACCAAAAATCCCTACCAACGTATGTGAAATAAAATAAACTTAAAAAAAAAGATTATTCAAAGTCTTTCTCTTTTCCTAGTTTATTCATCGGCCAAGTGTTCAAGACTTGCTATGGATAACCAGACCTGTTCTGCAGAACAGTGGTCCTGAGACCTTCACCCAGCTGATGGGCATCCTGTCTGACCTCCTGTGTGGCTACCCAGAAGGAGGAGGCTCTCGGGTGTTCTCCTTTAACTGGTACGAAGACAACAACTATAAAGCCTTCCTGGGGATTGATTCCACAAGGAAAGATCCCACCTATTCTTATGACAGAAGAACAAGTAAGTTCTCTGAATCCTACAGGCCAATTGGCCTCTGGTGTTGGTTAAGATGATGGGTTGGGATGTGGGAAGGGTGGGCAGATGACTCAGCTGGTAAAGTTCTTGCTACAATAGCGCAAGGACCCAATTACAATCCCTAGAATACACACACACACACACACACACACACACACACACACACACACACAGCCAGGCATGATGGTGCCCACTGGTAATCATGGCACCGGAGAGGCTGAGACAAGAAGATACTGGAGGTTTGCTGACCAGTTGGCTTAGCCTACTAACCAAGTTTCAAGTTAGTGATAAAAGTAGGTAGGCCGCACACCTTAGGTTATCCTACGACCTCCGTACTTACGCATACATGTGCATGTACACTTGCCCACACACATTGCACACTAATACGGAAAGTGATGGGTTGGCCCTTCTAAGAAACCAGTCCTGGCTGGGGTTGATTCCCCTTGCCCTTGGTGGCCTTGGGTAAGTGGATTTCTCCCAGAAAGTTTCTCTCCCCTTGTAGAGGAGAGTGGTGCTCGGAGAAGGCTGGATGTGAGCCATGGGAAGCACCAAGCCCACTTGGAAAGGAAAGAGAGGGGGCATTTCCCACTGATGTGACTGAACTGGGGCCAAGCTCCAGAGGAACACAAGAGCGGTGGATGAGGAGACGACTCCGATTTACAACCTAGCTCAGGTCAATAGGGCCCTGGCAAGTCGTCTGCTTCACTTGTACTGTTTTGGGGTAGGGTGGGCTCTGATATCACAAAAAGACAGCAAAGGACACAGCACAAGGAGGTGGGCTCTGAGACAGTTGCATACAACAAAGAAGAGAAGCAGTTAATAGACACGGAATTAGTTGAGACTAAAGCCGAGATTCCGATGTGGGGATGCTTGTTTTGGACTTTCACTCCCTTCGGGCTCTCGCAAAGATCACAAGCAGGCCTCTCAACTCTTTCTTTTAAGCGGAATAAGCCACAAGACAAACCCTATCCTTTGTCACACTGTGGAGGCTATTATCAAGGGGCATTGTGGCATTCTGTCACTAATGATGAGCTTGTTATTAGTGGGGTCCAGCCTAATAATTTAGATTACTTCTCAAACCCTCCAGTGTGGCATTGAATGGGAGCGAGACATGTGATTTGATGCACTAATGACTACGTTTAGTTATGAGCAGTGGGGAGTTTTGAAAAATGTGTCCCTTTCTCTTGACAGCATCCTTTTGTAACGCATTGATCCAGAGCCTGGAGTCAAACCCTTTAACCAAAATAGCCTGGAGGGCAGCTAAGCCATTGCTGATGGGAAAAATCCTCTTTACTCCTGATTCCCCTGCTGTTCGAAGGCTACTGAAGAATGTGAGATCCCAGATGGCCTAGTTCCCTTATGTCTCGGACCTCCCAGAAGACAGTGGTGTGGTGTGTGTGTGTGTGTGTGTGTGTGTGTGTGTGTGTGTGTGGGGTGTGTGTGTGTGTGTGTGTGTGTGTGGTGTGTGTGTGTATGTGTGTGGTATGTGTGTATGTGTGTGATGTGGGTGGTGTGTGTGTATGTGTGGTGTGTGTGTGTGCATGTGTGTGTATGTGCGTGGTGTGTATGTGTGTGTATGTGTGTGGTATGTGTGTATGTGTGTGGTGTGTGTGTGTATGTGTGTGGTATGTGTATATGTGTGGTGTGTGTGTATGTGTGTGCATGTGTGTGTATGTGTGGTGTGTGTGTGCACGCGTGTGCG